GAACTGCACATTGAAAGGGGGAGCTGAAGATATGTGGAAACTCTATGTTGGTATGACCAGTCGGGAAGAGAGATGGATGTCAGTGAGAAGACGTCAACGTCATGTTTGCTTTATGCAACATATCAAAACAGACAGGATATTAAACTGTATTAAGACAAGCATCTATAGGTAGATTCACAGGTAGACAGCAGCATTTAAAAACAGTGGGTGACTATGAAAGGGAAAACAAATAATGTGGAAAGACACTCAACTGAAAAGAAAAAAAAAAGGATAAATACGAAACTAAGCTTACAAAGAATTATTAGGATATATATATATAAATAATAAGTGAAAGAGTAAAGGTCAACTGAATGTCCATGCTTCATCATTTTTTCTTAGTATGGGAAGAAAACCTAAAATAAGAAGTAAAAAAAAAATAAAAAATAAATGTGTAAAATTCATAGAAGAAAGCATATATTTACACAATGCATCATTAACTAAGTAACACGAATTCCCCAAAGTATGTATCTTCTATACTTGGCAAGATATGTTCTATCCTAATTCCAATTTAATACAATTCTGAAGCCTTGCTATTGATCTTTAAGGCATCATTGGATGAGGACCCAGCTAAATTGGGTAGTATCCTTTCACCCATAACATATGAAGACAAATAAGCTCTCCTTGTGTAATGCAGCAACAAACTGTGATGACATTCATGAGGACTAAGTCTAGTTTGTTTCAGGCAAAGCGGATTGATAATGCAATGAGTAACTGTAGAAGGTTATATTGAACCACAGCCTGATTGCTTTTAAAGTATACAGACATATCTGTCTGGTAATGGTTTCCAACTGTAAGTGAAGCCAAGGAAATAAAAACATCAAGCAGCTCAGAAAGCTCAGTACCTAAAAAAAAAAAAAAAAAAAAAAAAAAAGGAAAAGAAGAGGGAGTGAACAACACTTCAGACAATCGCAGTGCAGATTTATCTTACTAAGCACTTGGATTCTAAGGACATAATTTGGATAAACTGCATGTAAGATGTAAAAGATACATGTATAATAAAGATACCTGGAATTGTACCACAAAATGGTTAGGCATTAATTTTCAGCCTACAGGCAAAAGAAAATAAATTCACTAAGATCTTGACATGCTCTTCAATAATTTGATCATTACTGCCAAAGAAAGAGTGTTGCCTTCAGGGGGCAGTGGCGACCTGGTTCAGGAACGGCACGGCGACCAACCCCAGGCCGCTCGGTCCATCGGCTCACAGACACCAATGTGGTGGATGGCAAATGGCGTTTCTTGTCGAGTCCCATGGGGTTATCTACCCGAGGCCCATAGCGTCACTTCGCTTGCTTACAGCACAGCCCACACGCTACTGGCCATCAAGGGAGGGGCTCCACCTTTCCGTACAGCGCCACATCTTCCGGCCGCCAGACCCTAACTACCCATAAAGAGATTCTCAAAAGTGTTGAAGTAACTAGAGAGCAGAAGCCCTGCATAAAATCAATGTGATATATGGAATTCTATTTTAAACCCCTGTGTAAGGGTAGTGGTAGTAGTGGTGGTGATCATCCTCAGGAGGTACTTATCTCTCTTCCCTAACCATAGCAAAAGCTTAGAATAGACATCAATTTTACGTCAGTGAAGCATGGCAAAATGAATTTGATGATTAGTAAATTTGGGAAATTGCGTCTTATTCATGTGGAAATTTCGCATTGATTCCAATAGCTGTTGACATCTTGATATCGCCCTGAAAAGGCTTCTTGTCTAGTTTGACATGGTAAATCTCTTTTTTTTTTTTTTTATAGGAGTTTTTTAAAGCCACAGGCGGCTGCTAAGGAATCTCTGATTTATACAAGAGACTTTCAAAACTATCCCTTATCTTCACTGTCCTATTATCCAATGGTTTCCCCATAGCTATGTTCTGTTTTGATTTGAGATGACTGGCCCAGCTCAGAAACATCCTTTTTGATCTCGCTGCTCAGTCTTGTTCAGTGATTTTAGTTTAGCGATTTTTATATTTGTCTAACACATGAAATCCATGAATGGATGTAGATGCTTTTAGAGTTACTAAATTTTTCATGATCAAGGATGTTTTCACACATTGTGACTAAAACCAGATGCAGAAAGCATTTCCATTGGATCAGAATGCAGGAAACAGAGGGCACATTTATTCTTTGTTATAGAGTACAGTGATGATATCTTTAAAAGAACTGCTGCCATATCATGAGATCGATAAGCTGATCTCAGCACTGTACAGGTACTAACCTTGATCCCCAAATCAGTACTGTCATGTTACCGTAGTGCTACGACTTCTCTCTTAATGAAGCTATTTACCTGAATTGAAGGATTACACTGATACACTCTTTCTGCTCTACAGATATTTTTAATAGCTCATTGTGGCTCTCTGAGCCATATTGCCAAATATGAACCATATTGCCAAATCATCTCTGAACCATATTGCCAAATCATGCAGACTATACATATTTACGACACTGGCTTTTCATTTGGCAATTTCTACAAACCCTCTTAAAAAATAAAAATAAAAAAAAATAGTGCAGACATTTATGATTGCCTTGTCTAACTGACAGTCCTTCTGTTGCTTCCTTTTTTCTATAATTTTGGTTGTGTTCCTTTTGATCTAATCTGAGAAGGACAGAGGTCTCAGAGATCAGCAGTTCTTACACATTTTGCAAAGACTGATGGTATCATTGAGCAGAAAAACCCAATAAAAGCTTCATTAGTTCTGCTTCTCAAAGAATTTTCTGTTTAGTGAAGAGACCCTTAGAGAGAATTAGAGCCCAAATCTGTCATTTTGAACATTCTCATTTTCCATTAGGCAGAACAATTTGCAAGATTAAATGCAAAGGAATATATCTCATTGTTCATCATTATTTGGACTTTGTTCCAATTAGTTTAATTATCTCAAGTATCACTGTGACTTCTTGTTGCTCAATTACTGTCAAACAGACCACCCTTCTAATCACGTCACCTGCCGCTTTTTCTAACCTCTACATTGAACACACTCTGGAGGGATTTGTCTGTGTTTTTAGACATGCCTGAGTGAGTGAGAGCTACTTGTGATCTAATAGATGATTTGGTTAGTGCACAAGTGCATCTTTGACCTGCATTTCGAACAGGGGCATATATGACCAGTTCTAGCTATTTTCTGCTGTGTACAGAAGAGGAGAACAGATTCACAATGTTTTTCTGATTGTGCATCTGTTTTTACACTGGCCATGGCCCTAGGACAGATCTGACCAAGCTGGAAGTGATTTCCTTTCAAATAAATTAGCCTATTAGCTGAAAAGAACTAATGATGTTCTGTTTTTCTACCTAGAACGCAGGAGGAGAATCAGATCAGAAAACAGTCAAACAGGTTACAGATTGGGAAAGTCTGGCTTATAAAATTTTAAATGGCTCAGAAGTTCAGGTGTGTGATTTATAAGATTATACTTTTTATTCTGAAGACTATGACCCAATTTCAATAAGCTTGATGTGAAGCTTTATAATTCATCACCTGATAATTCTAACATGAATAAAATAGTAAAACAGTGTACATTTCTGCAGAAAGAGAATTGCTGGGAATTGGCATACAGGATGTGGACATGTGCCTGTGGAACAATTGTTCGATCTGAGCTTGCTTTAAGCAACCAGATCCCTCTGCAAGGCCTTTCCACCCGCATTCGGGTCCACAACTCCTCCAAGTTTGGTGTCATCAGCAAACTTGCTCAACATACCTTCTATTCCTACATCCAGACCGTTTATAAAAATATTGAAAAGTACCGGCCCTAAAATGGAGCCTTGAGGGACCCCACTGGTGACCGCCCGCCAGCCTGACGCAGCCCCATTTACCATAACCCTTTGGGCCCTGCCCGTTAGCCAATTGCTCACCCACAGCTTCTCCCCGCAGCGCCCTGGGCAGCTCCCCGGGCAGGCTGAGTGCTGAGCCTGGCAGGCGGCAGAGGCCCTGCCCCGGCACACAGCCCCTGGGCCACAGCAGGGACCCTGCTCTGCACCACAGCCCTGGACACCCCTGCCTGCACTCCCGGCTTCTCCTGCCTCCAGGAACTGCGGCTGCATTGCCCTCCAGCCAGACACTTACCGGGTGCAGGGCTGCGAAGTCTTCTCCCCCGGTGAGCTCTGGGCATGCTGCCACTTCTGCCTGCCTTTAAGCACTGTGTCTCTGCAGGCAGTGCCCCCAGCCCTGCTGCACTGTGCACAGGAGCTGCTCCTGGGCAGAGCTGTCTCTCTGCAGCGCTGCCCGCTTGCCAGGAGCTCCCCTTGGGCCCAGGAGCCCGGCCCAGCTCAGCAGCAGAGGCCCAGCCCAAGGCCTCCCTTGCTCTGCCCCCCACCAGGCTCCCTGCACATGGCCCTGGGGCTGCAGGGGAACCTGCTGGGAAACAGCCTGAAGGGATCCCTGGGCTTCCCTCCCTCCCCTGGGCACACACACTTCTTGACAGCAGGCTCATTTCTCTTAGCACAAAAACAATTATCTGTAGCAGTCTTCTCTTCTCATCCCAGTTCATGAAGGGACACCCAGGCATGGTCATAAAAGTAACTCCTTTAGCCCCCTGCTTAAGGAAGGGATTCAGCAGAGTCAGTTAAGACATCTCATGCTGGTTTTTTGTCCTGGGGCTGGAATGGGACAAAGATCCCTCCCATGCCTGCCACAAACCCACGGGAGCTGGGATTCCTCTGCACTCAGTTTAGGTGTGAATAACATGGGCAGCTGCAGGTGAGCTCCTTTTCTCAGCTCCAGGATCATTAATGGAGATGGGGGAAATCAAGGGAAATCAGCAGCCCCTTCTCCTGCCTGAAGATCAGCCCCAGCTCCAGCACTGGCCCTCAGGGCTGCACCAACACCACAAAGGCCCTCTGCTGTCAGAGCGGCACAGCCCAGGCCTGTTTCCTTCTGGCCTCAGGAACACCAGGCCTTGCCCTTCTTGGGATCCCTTGTCATCCTTTTGTGCCCATCCACCATCCACGGCAGCAAATCTCTGCTCTGAAGGAAAGCCTCTTCATGCCCAGGCTCTTGGCACAAGGTCTGGGACAAGTCTGAGTTTGGCCCTTGTGCCACAGCTGAGGTGCTGCAGCCCAGATGTGCCCCAATGCCCTCAGGCTGGGGCAAAGGCAGGAGGAGCTGGATCCCCGCCTGCTGTCACAGGGCTGGGACATTGATGGAAGAGCTGCTGAGGTGTGGGGGGACAGGTCCCCCAGCTTGGGGTGCTGTGCTGGATGGGGGCAGATTCTTCAGAAGAGACAGGCGGGGATGATCAACAGGGGGTTGCCCTCCATGTGAAGGATCTGTCTGGATGCATGGAGCTCCTCTATGGGATGGGCAGCAGAGTGGGGGAGCCCTTGTGGGTGAGGGTCAGAGCAGAGCCAGTCAGGGTGGCAGTGTGGTCAGAGGTAAATGCCTGCAGTCAGGCTGAAGAAGCAGACAGTCTTGTGGAAGCCACTGGACTAAGATGACTTCAATGACCCCGTGTCACCCTGGGGGCCTTAAATCACTCAGACTGTCACAGAAAAGGGACACTGCAGGGTGCAAACATTCCCGAGGTTTCTGTGGGTTCTTGGAGACAGCTTCTGTGCACAGCTGCTAGGTTAACCAACCTAGGTGATGTTCACCAGGATCTGGGACTTGCAAACAGGAAAACCCGTGTCTTGACACTCCTCCTGCAAAATGCATGTCATAGTCCAGCTGCTTTGCAGCACAGGGAAAGAGATGAGGTTTTGGGGCCCAGCCCTACATCCAGCACTGCACAGCCAGCCCTGTTCTGATCCCCAGCCCTGGTCCCCAGCCCTGATCCTGTCCCCAGACATGGTTCCTAGCCCTGGTCCCCAGTCTTGGTCCCCAGCCCTGGTCCTGGACCCCAGCCCTCGTCCTGTTTCCTGCCCTGGTCCCAAGCCCTGGTCCCCGAGAGGCAAAACCCCTCTCATTTATATGCAGGAACATGGTGGAGGCTCCTAGGTCAGTCACAGAAAGGTGTGACATATGTTGGAGAAATAATCCACTAAACACACAAAAATCCAGAAAAGAATTTTCTGCTTCTGTTATAAGTTGCCCCCTTAATTAATTTTCAGAGAGCATTGCATTAATAATAGAAAGGAATTTATTGAGTAAGCAACAGCAAGCAAAACAGCGCTGGGCGGCCGGGGAGTCTCGGCTCCGCCAACGGCGCGCACCTTACCCCCCCCAGGGTCCCTTTTTATATCTTGGTGATTTCAGGATTACGCAGCACGTCCGGGTATGTTCTGCGACTGCGCGCGCTGTTGCTAGGGGGTCGTCTCTGTCCCTCTGGTGGTCGTGAAGATGAAGGCCGTAGTCTTCCTCGGCGTTGTGGTTCAACTTCTTTCTTTATTTGGTCATGTTGGCCCAGCATGAGACAGGGAGGCAGGGTGTTGATACACTAGTTTAACAACTTATCAGGAGATGGTTACATGAACTTTGCAGCAGTGTTTTTTGAACAAAAGAGGCTACTGAGATGCAGAAGGAGAGAAGGGGAGAGGGTTCTCTTTTTTGTTACATTAAGCAAAGGAATTTTCATAGTGTCTAGCTAAGCATTATACAGCTCCTTACTTCAGCAGGAAACCTTCGCAACACCTGCTCCTCAAATAAAACTCTTTGTTTTTTAATACAAAGGACAATGAACAAACATCTATGGTGTATGTATTACAATCCCTCCTTTTTCTTTTAGTTACTCATTTTGTTCATTGAATCTCTGCAATGCTTGACTACTAAGAACTAATGTTTCCTCGATTTCTTCGTTAGTACTTACTGGCTCGTATCTGGCATGTATGAGCATTAAATGTGCCGCTTCTAAATGTCCCTTTACAATCGCAATCAATTTATTAAAAATATATGGTCCAAAAGTTAGTGCTATTATTAAGAACAACAAAGGTCCTGTTATTGTTGATAATAAAGTAGTAAGCCAAGGTGAATAATTAAACCAAGATTCGTACCAGCTCCGTCGGGCTTCATTCTCCTGTTTCCTTTTTTTTTTTTTTCAACCCTTCGCTGGGTCTTGCCATTGTATCTCTTACCTCTCCAGTGTGATCAGCATACACACAGCATTCCTCTTTCGGGTCTGCACACAGCCCGTCCTGTTGTAAAAAAAAACAAATCTAATCCCCTATGATTTTGTAACACTACCTCTGAAAGCAACCTGATAGATTTTCCAGGGCCGAGATGGATTGTTCAATTTGGGTCAGGTCCTCGTCCACAGCAATGCATAAGGAAGTAAATTCTTGATTTTGTTTAACCAATGAGGCTACCCTGGTCCCCACTCTAGCTCCTCCCAGGATTATTAGGGTGGCCAAAGTTAGAGCCGTGAATGGTTCCCATCTTTCCAGATGATGACTTTCCACTGTGTCTGGGTGTACATATAATCCTCAGGGTGGTATAGAATCCTTGGTATAATTATCACCTGAGCTCGTAGGGCTGCCGAGGGTTGGAAGTGTAGTATTTTCCGCAGGCTGGATTCCCTGGACATTTTCTGACAATACCTCATTTGGTCCTACTGCCTGGGGCCTATCAGCATCCTCCTTTTCATTAGTATGAGTCCTCCCCTATCTGTTCTGTGTTTGTAAAATCTGACACCTCACATTTTTCCTAGTACCCAGCTAGTATCATCCAAGTTTGTTATATTTATATATAGAACCTTGCAAATTTCTTTATTTCCATGGAAGGTTCCTGTATACCCTATACCATGCCCTCACCACCTGTAACGGGGACCTGCTTGTTGGTTACAACCTTGTGGCCCATATCCCACTTGTAAGAATTTATTCCGACCAGCCCCGAGTGTCCAGTCCATAGCAATGGTTTCACACCCCCAGTATGCACAATAATACATGTTCGGGTAATTACAGTACCCCTTTCCTGGGTTAGAACTTGGGCAGAAATAAAATCCTGATCGGTTAAAGCATGGCTGCACTGACACCAGGTCACATAATGTGATGCGGAAACTGGGAGCACCCGCTGTCATTGTTTGCTGGATGATGAACTGATCCTTCCATCTGATCAAGCTCCATTTAAAAGGCTGATGGGGATGCGCAGACCCATAGCTGACCAAAATGATGATACTGACTCCCATGTATCGTAGGAGGTGGTTGGAGCCCATCTAAATTGTCGGCCCCTCAGTCCCCCACCGTTTTCACTTCTCTGCCTCGCTTGTCAGTTCGGTTGCAGCGAACTACAAGGTATCGGTTCTTCTTGGCAGCAGCAGTGTTCTTCAGGGGAACCTACTAGGGAGCCTTTGAAACAGGGCCTCCTCCCCTTCCCACGATACACAGATAATATAAAATACTTATCGAGTCCGTCTTAGTGTCAGCTTCAAGTCGTCAGGGCCTGGAGCTGCCTCCCATTTACCTTCCCGGATTGGTCCTTTCACACGGCTGGCATGCGTCCATCCTTTCTCCACAGTTCGAATAGCCGTTTCTGTGGTAAGCAAAACAACATAAGGGCCTTCCCCATCGTGGTGTTAAAGCAGTCTCTTTCCAAGTCTTAATTAGAATTGAGGGTGATCAAGTGGCAGTTCCAAGTCATAGGGCATACCATATAGCATTTCAAAAGGAGAAATTCCTACATCAGTTCTGGGCTGTGTCCATATGTTTAACAGTGCAAGGGGTAAGCATTTTACCCAAGAAGCCTTAGTTTCCAGCACAAGTTTTGTTAGTTGTTTCTTAATTTCACCATTCATTCACTCTTCCTTTCCAGAAGAGGAGGGGTGCCAGGGGCTGTGAAAATCCCACTCAATCTCTAAGGCCTGCTTTGATCCTTGCAGTAAAGCTTTACACCCATTCAGTCACGTGGTCAATTAGGACAAACAAGTAACTCAGTAAAGTCTACCTGTATACTTTGGAAAGGTCAAAGCCCTGGCTCCCGTCCCCCTCTAGATAGGTTACAGAAGGCCTTTTTATTTACCTTTTGACATATAGTAGTACATCCTCTACATGTGTGCTTCCCTAAAGTATATATTCCTACACAGACATGCTTTCTTAGAACAACATCACACATTGCTTGCACCTCCCAATGACTCTTCTGATGTAAAACAGTTAATATTTGCCTCATTATCACTTTATTCAGCATTTCTCTCCCATCAGGGAGTATCGATTTTCCTTAAAATGATCCACATATTTGTAACATTAATACCTCCTTGGGAAGTTGTAATTGCTCCAAAATATATATTTTTTTTAGAATTTACCCAAATAGATAGGTGGCCCTGTAAACCTCTGAGGTAAAATTGTCCACCTATATTGTTGCTTTCGCCCCCATTTCAGGGTCTTTCCAGTCAGAGGTGAATATACATGTATGTTTGCTCTCAGGGCCAGAGAGCACTCCATTAATAACACTGTTATTCCAGTCTAACAATTTACTAGTTGAATGCCCAATTTAATCATCAAATCCCTTCCCAACAAGTTAGTCTCTGCCTTGGATATATACAATAATTGCCCAGTGATCATTTTATCCCCTAGTCTCAGCTTGGTATCCCCCAAAAGTGGCACTGTTATCCCAGTCCCTTCTACCCCCATCACATTTAGGGTTTCATTAGTTAATTTAATCCCTGATACTTTACAAGTAACAGCAGTTGGGAGAGCAAGAACCCCCCCCGCAAACACCAAAGTCAGTGCAGAAGGAGGGGGAGGAGGCACTCCAGGCGCTGGAGCCGAAGCCCCCCTGCTGCCGCTGGAGAGGCCCCTGGTGGAGCAGGCTGTTCCCCCCTCCCCGATGCTTGGGAAACTGAACAAACACCACAGCAAATATGCAAATATACCAAAACTTCTAGACTGTTACTTAGATAATGCCTACATCACCTTTCCCTGCTCATTCAACTTCGAATACCTTTAACACTTTCAACAAACCTTTTAACACGTACTTTATCTTTCTCTAGCCTTTACTTTTCTAATGCCGACATCAAAGGCTCAGTCAGGGGCCAACTTAATTCCGTACCTTTTCCCTCCAAGATGCTGAAACAACATCAATATACAACATTTCATCCTGTTTTCCTTCTTTCCACAAAAACAACATTGACTGTAATATGGTGTTATAATTAATACTTCCATTTAGGAGCCACTCCGCTCCATCCTCTAGTTTATAAAGTGGCCACCACTGATTACAATATTTAATAAGGGTTCTTTTACTCTCTGTACCCTCTTACCCCACTATATCCCTTCAATGTGTTAGTATACATCCTAGGGGGCTTTTCCTCGGGATTTCTTTGCTTTGAACTTTTCCTATTGTAATCTGCAGTGGTTAATATTCCACCGTTTTCCTAGAAGCTCTTTACTAGTCAATCCCAATCCCTCCAAAATCCACAATATATAGATACACAAGTAAAATCAGACCACTGTAAATTAACTGCCTGTAGACAATTACACTGGGAACATTTAAACCTGATGAACCGATAATATGCCTGGGAAAATTTTGTTCCCTTAAACATACACCTCAATGGCAGTTCTTATATTTTCATATTTACATATTAACATATGTATAAAAGAACACTTTAACAAAAATGCCCGGGCTTTTATATATACAATATACAATGTACAGTTATTATTCCAGTTACAATCATTCCTCAGCAGCTGGAAACATTGTGTCAGTTGCCATTAAAACTCGCTTACCCTCCTCCTGTCTCTTTCTTAAAATCTCGGACGTCCCCGGAGTTAATGGGGATGGC